AAACCAGAAAATTAAAGTAACATTTCAATAAAATAAAAAATCGTTCAAAGTACCTAATTCACCCTCCTTAAGTGCACTATATACTTACAAGATAACACTTAAAGACTTCTTCATTCTGTCTTCCGATTGGTTAGATGTCCATCACACATGATGACGTGTCATCCCTCATACATATTTTGATCACGAAAAGATTATTAAACTACTCTAGATGTAGTAAACATGAGGAACTGGATATGATGGTGACCTATTAGGAATCTAACCCATGTGATGTCCAAAATAAGATAGATGACACCAGAGGATGTCATGCCATACTTTTATTCTTGGAGACGTTGTATAGAGATCACCTAGTTGCGACAATGGAGAGCGTCAAGAGCATACCTCATATTTTTGGTTGGCACATTCATATTTATGGACAAAAGTGCAACATATGTTGATGTCATCTATCTCAGGTACTTCATTAACTTGGAGAGGATTTGTGAGTACAACTTGAGGGTCTCTTGTTTGGTTTATCTCTACTCCGAGCTAGGCGGAGCTTGTATGTGGAAGACTAGACAATAGGCGGGAAAGAAATGTCTATTCTTCCGATAATATTTTTTCACCTTAACTATTACTAATATTTAATAATACATGTGTTACTTGGTTAATAATATTTCATCTGAACCATTTTCAAGCATGGATCCAATATCACTTTTCATGTCTCTCCGACTGGGCATGTACGTAAGAGTACTCTGAGGATTTTCCACATGCTTGCTCCATCATCCCGCTTAGAGAAAATTAGGCGATCGAGCAGTTTTGAGTTTATCTTGACCACATCGTGATAGATGATATTTGCTTCATGTCATATGTCGATCACCGTCAGACACAATCCTTGTGGGTTACGTCCGATGTATCCACATTTGCATGAGCGAGTCATGCGACAATTCAGGATATACATGGTATTCCTAGAGCTCCCACCGTGTTTTCTCCTCCCACTGTCACTTGCAGAGATGTTGATGCTATATTTAAGGCATTTTGTGATCATTTGGTCCCTACAAATGTACGTCGTGTTCTAGCTCCTCGACCATGGAGTGCGGTATACTGTTACAACCAATGGTTGTATAAAGTGTCACATTCTTACATGGCATCAAATGCATAGAGAGAGCTACCTAGATCAGTTCATCAGAAGATATTAGAAGAGGAGCAGACTAGGACGAACCTTGTCGTTGATGTGTTGTCGATCTGTCAGCGCATTATGACAATTGGGAGAGCGGGCATAGAGAAACAACAATTTCAAGAAGGCACTCTTGTAACGGCCACTATAAAGGCCATCATAGTCGATACACGACATGTCTTGCAGTACAGAAGGCAAAGAAAAAATCCGAGGGATCGGATATACCCAATAGTTGACTTTTTCTTTGTAATTTGATTCTAACATATTAACAATTTATATTATAATTTGTATTTTATGAACGATGATATTTAAATTTTTTTTATAACAAATGATGGATGGTGGTAACCACCGTTTTAACTTAATGTATGATATTTTAATTGTATGAAAAATGTCTATAATTTAAATTAATTAAATTTATGTTTCCTTTGTATATAATATTTATTAAAAAATGTCAAAAAATTTATAATAAAAAAAAATATACTATTTTATTTCAGAGATTGATATCTGGATTAATTTTTGGGAGAATGAAGCGTCTCTTTAATAAAATTATTTTATTGTTAAATAAGTGTTTGAATTTCAATCTTTGAACACAAGAATGACATTTTTAGGTTTCATAAGATTGCTGAATATATGGTGGAATACCATTATTCCAAAGATGATAGTCTAAATTAAGATGAAAATGAAAACATTAATTATATGGTTGGGTTTATAAAGGAGAGATGAATATTTTCTTCCGAGATGTAACAAAATTGTAAGAAAAACGAGAGGAATTAACATGTCACCCCAATATGAAATTGTTCCTGTAATATATATCGGATATTTTGAAATTTTCGGTGTCATGCCGAAAATTTCACGAAAATACCAGAAATTTCGTTGATTTTTCAATTTTTTACCGTGCCGTATGAACTTAACCGGAAATTTGAAATATCTGGTACCATAAATTTCAAATTTCCGGTGTATTTCATCCTTATAAGAAACCGGAAATTTGAAATTTCTGGTGTGTGGAAAAAATCGAAAATTTAAAATTTCTCATAGTATTGAAACTTTTTTTAAATTTTATTTTACTTTTATTTGAATTAAATACACAGTAAAATAGCAAACCGACTTAATATATAAATAGAATACATGTCATACCCATATGTATTAAAAAAACTACAATCACTTCCTAGAAAATTCTTCCCAATGCCTGAAACGACCCGCATATGCTGATTCTCATGTTTTTGCATCATTAGAGCAACTCTCCCTCCAACGATCAGTGACGGGAGATAGTGAACAATTGGGTTTCAACTTTAACTAAACCCAGTGATTTTTGTTGACAAAAACCAACAACAATGATTGTATGTTGAATCGTGTTCGGGGGTGGAGCTATGAGAAGTGGGAAAAATGTTATGTTAAGTCTCATGGAAATGGAAACAAATACAACTTTGTATTTAGAAGCAATAGAGCAACCCATATCAGGAATCGACATCCATTTATCTCTAATCTGCACACCCAAGTGTTTTACTTGTAACGAAGTCCTAACAACAGAGACTGGGTCATAGAACAACTTGAAAAACAAGTCAGCGTGTTGATGGACTTGAGTATCCAACTACTTCCGAACTGAATAACATGCATCTTGCTCCATCCTAATAAAGATGAAATACAACGGAAACCATAATTTCTATCATTCTCAACATCAATTATGTTATCGACGTATGGATGAAAGAAAGCAGGAAATTGTGACAAGTACTCAGCTCTTGAAGATTTGATAGAAGGTTGCTTACCAATCGGCATGGTCGATGATTGACTTCCAATTGGTTTTGTGCATGATTTCTTTGTAGTCTGACTCCCCTCCGAAGCTGCATTATATTCCCACTGGCTAGGATCACGATGCACATCACTCTTCTTATCCTTTCTACTTTTCTTAATTCCCCTTTTTGACTTGTAATTCATCGGCGATGGACACATTGAAGTTGTGGATGGATAAGTTAGATCACAGACTTTTTTCTTCAACACCCTCTGATCCACAATATTCAAAGTACTGAAATATCTCTTCAACTCTTCACACTCTTCTTCTAAATCTCACTTACTCTCATCAGGAGTCACATCATGTTCTGAAATGTGCAATTTCGTCCAAAATACATGAACTGATTCCAAAGGTATAGGTGTGCCTAAATTTTGGAAACCGACAAGCTGACAAGCACATGGTAACCCATGTGTTGTTCTAATGTAACAACCACACCTCTCCTTGCTTGCACCAATAAATTTTACTCTTTCTAGTTCCTTTCCAATGAGTTGTATACATTGTCTTGAGATAAAACTGTGCAATTTAGAATAGAAAGGGGTGTTATACCGATGCTTAAGTTGACGATACTTTTTTGAAATGACACTCTGATGGAACCTAGTTGCAACTTCAATATTGTGTTCACATCATGATTGTGCAAACCGCGTTTAATCATCACTTCCAATCGATACCACTTGGAACAGATCTCAACCTAAATGGGCATCTAACCTTCATAGTATAGTTGCCATCAGACGGCTTCTCAAATTCATTTTTCTTGTTATAATTTTCCCTTCTGTCAATTTATCCTTCCCCCTTCGCAGTCCATTAGCAGAATCACGTTGAATTATAACAACAATAATATCATGATTTTTATCAATAGACTGTGCCCATTCTAAAACTTTAGCTCGTGATTCAAAAATATGTCAATTTCAACAACATATAATTAGTAAACTTCATCAATTTACAAAAAAACAAATAAAAATGTGTAAATTAAATAAGAACCATACCGTATATGTGATGAAGAACTGTGTAAGATCAGTACACAAATCCGTAGAAGAAGCTGACGATGTCAGTTCAAGATCGCAAAGATATAAAATTCCATCCGCAAACATACTAGAAATTTCAAGTATAACTAAATTTTCCGGTACCCCCAAAAATTTCAAATTTATGGTTAACGTTTCCTACCGGATATTTGCGTAATTTGCGTAATTTCTGGTATGTGTGTTAGCTTTTGAAAATTGACACTGAAATTTTGAAATTTTCGGTGAATCGCAACCGTAAATTTTGAATTTCCGGTTAATCGCTACCAGAAATTTGTAGAATATAAAATTTTTTCGATAAGCAATCAAAATCGGCACCGGAAATTTGCTTAACGTGCCATAAATTTCGTTTTTTGACTCCTTTGACCAATGGTAAATTTTTTTTGACAAATAAAAAATTTAGAGTAAATAGTAAAAAGAATATTTTAGGAATAATGAAATTTAGGGGAGTGGTATGTATAAAAATAGGGGTGGCAAGTTAATTTCTCGAAAAACAAGCAAAAGCTGCATTTGAAACTTCTTTCGTTGAAAAAACCTGCCAGTGTAATCTTGAAGTAATATGTGGACCTCCCTTATCTAAAACAATAATTTAATGAAGTTTGACCAATGACCAATATTTCAGATACAAAATCATGTTGATACATTACATAACAGCATAAAACAACAATAAAAAGTATAACTCAATGGACCAGCTTCAGCCCTTCACATAACTACCATTCAGACCCATTGTTGCAAAGAAGAATTGACCATGAGTGTCACCAAACCCCTCTCACTAGTGCACTTCAAGTTGATATATGCTATTGCTCTTGAAAAATTATGGTCAGACAAAAGTATAACTCAATTTGTGTACACAGAAAATGAAGGTCCAACAACCGAAACATATGCAAAATTGAAAGGTCGAAATCCAAAGAGGTATTGGTTTCTGAACAGCTGGATGAACCAGAAGAAACAAGAAACTCATTAGCATTAGAGATATGTTGTACAGTACCTGGTCCCAACTTCAAGTGCAATCAAAATCAGTTGTGAAACATGAATTTCAATAGGGCAATCAAGCAACATGCTGTACAGATAACTTGATGTAAAAGTCGTCCAGTTTTGCAATGGCGTTGTCTATAAATTTGATGAGGTCTTCAGGTGCATAAACTTGAGAAGAAGTGTGTGCTTCCAAAACACCGAGATCCACCAAATCAACCATGGAAGCACCCACTGAATCAGAGAACAAATTGGATTGCCCGTGTATCATTAAATATGCTTTTCCCACCTGCATGCAGAATTTGGAAAACCTAGGATCTTCAAATGTTTTTATCATATCCACAACACAGTCATGATTCCCTTCTAGACCACAACCATGTTTCATCTCTGATGCAATCTTCCTAATAGACCCAATATTCATGGATAAATGCTGAGCTACTCTTGACGAGTTTCCAGTTGTACTTCCATCTCTTCTATTTATGTAGCAAAGCAGAACCAAGTTGGCCAAGGTGAAGTATGAAATGAAAGTAAAGAAGTCATAAAAATTCATCCCTGTTTTAAGAGTAAAGTCAGTTCAATTTAAGTAATCAGTCAAGGGATCCTCAATCTTACATAGTATGCTATGGAAATGTAGTTTCTATTAAACTTGCTAAAAAACTTGTCTTATGTGGCTAGGTTAATTGCTCTAGCAAGCACTAATATTAAGAAAATTGTAGTTCAGATGCACAAAGTAGCAACATCAGTATTATAAAAATATACCGGAACCCTCTTTTCATAGTTGATCATCACAAAATCTTTAAATAATGAATAAATGAATATAGGGTGACCACTCATTATGTTAATACAGATTTAGATCTTTAGTTCAAGACATCCAAAATTAGTTTGTCCCAACAACATACGAAAATGTCATGATACAAAGTACTGCACCTGTATTAGCAGCAAGATTGCGCTGGCAGAGACCTTCAAAATCATCACATATATCCTTGATATCTTCTATGTATTCCTTGGCCTCATTGTAGTCCCTTAAAAGTAAATTCCACTGTCATAGCATGAAAAGTCATGAGATAAACTTAGTTCAATTATATTTATCCTCTGAGTCTGATTGAAACACGAATATATACTTGATTGCATTGCTCAATTTACCACCCAAGAAAGGTTATAGGCATTGAACCAATTGTGGTTTATAGATAATGTATCCTCCTGAAAAGAAAAAAGAAAAAAAAGCAAAAGAGAGTTAAAATGATCAAATCATATCAAATTTCCTCGACAGAGCAATCTGACGACAAAGCTGCTACACAAACTGGACAAAGCTGTATAGACTCAAGACTTAAGGCCCTGTTTGTTGAAGCAAAATCCTTTTTAATGTTTTGAAGATAACAAACTCTTAAGTAACTATGATTAAAATTATTATCTTATTTGTTATTTGATGTGGGCTCCTGAAAATCATTAAGACAGGTATTTATGAAGTTTACCATCAAGCATGATGACAGAATCAATGCTCCTCAATTTTAATATCAAGTCCACTACAAGAAAAGGAAAACATCTGCTTGAAATGAACACTAAGCATCACATGAAATGAAGAGATAAGACAAATCCTTTGTTAAAAGATATTTTCCCAAGGGTGAGGACTGAGGATAAAGATCCAAGGACAGGCAATTACTTGGAGGCCAAGTACTAAAGTTTATTAGAATTGACATGATCATTTCAAGTTAAAATAAGACAACGGACTGGACATGATCATTTCAAGTTAAAATAAATGCAGAAGAAATCATTTTGTATATGAGGATAAAAATGGAGGATGAACAAATTCTTGGGCACCAAGGAAAACAAGTGTCTTCAATGGAATTAAAGGTGACGGGATCATTCAATATTCACTTTAAGCTTATGCTTAAAATCAATAAATTAAACAGTAAAAGTAACTTTTGGTATCTCAACTTGCAAGAAGAAATTTTTGTTATCCTCACAACTGAGGACCAGAAATATGCCTTGCTAGTTATACGTCAAATTAAGGCATGAATGGCATTTTTGCAATTACATTGAAGAGTAAGGGTTTCTCAATTATTCTGAGTTAGCAAAGAGGCCTCAAAAGATCAATACCTCTATAAAAAGCATTCCCCATCCAACCTTTCAAGGCATGAGAATTGAAATAGAAAAGGAGATTAAAAAGAAACAAAGTTCATCATCCATCTCAATTTACACTTGTAAGCTCACTTAGATTTATAGGGCACACGAGGAATGCTCCGGCTTCATCATCGTCCTGTAAAAGCAAAAGGAAATCTACCTCTGAAAATACTCCCGTCTCCAAAGAGAGAAAGATAAAAACTACCAAAACTCTGACAGAGGATCTGACCAAAAACCACAACAATGCCATGCCTAACCCTGTTCCTTCCTTTCATCTCCCCTGGCGTCTCTCAGACCTGACATCAATCTAGAGGCTATCCCGACCCCTAGTCCAGAAAACAACGTGTTGGATGAACACCTTGATGAAATGCTACAGTCAGCCCATATGAGAGGGAAATACTATTATTATCCTCTATCTGGTGGATTTGATCCTGAGGATGAGCAGCAAGTTACTCCTTCTCCTCAGACTGACATCATTCCTTCCCATCATCCTCCAACAAGCCCTATTAAGCAATTGGTTAACTCATTTTCCACAATGTCTCCCATTTGTGCATCATTGCCCAAAAGCAGCGAACATCCTTCTTTTGATGCTGCCCTGCATTTCATTTTTTCCCCACCACAGTTTGATTCATCATCACAACCTGAACCCAGGGCTGTCTACTCCTCAAAGCTTTGTGAACCTGACAACTCTGAGTTCCTTGACTCATCCGCCTCTCGTAACAAAGGTGATGAAGCCCCCATGAAAGAACCGGTGGTTGAAAATTTAAGTAAACACTGTTTCCTATGGTGCAAAATGACCGATTAGAGCAGCGTTTGTTCATAAAACATTGGATTGGGCTTCCAAGATGAAGGGGCTTTTTGTTTAGCAGATGATGAATGACAAGAATGTCCATTTCAGAGACTTTTTCCAAACTTCCATCCCTAGGAATGATGGGTGGACACTCATATTGTGAATAATGTGACTTGTTGGTTGAAGATTTGCAGAGACTGAAATTTTGGCAGGAACAATTTGATCTTAGCTAAGAACATCACTTCTCTTTTGACCATAGAGTTGGTACCAGTTATGAGATAAGATGAGTGGACCATTGTTGCTTATTTCAAGAATTGTTTACTTTGTGAAAACATTTTGTATTTTCATTTTCTAAAAATTGTGTTAGTTTTACTTGTTAACAAAGAGATCATAGACTCTTGAAGTGAACAACAATGTGCATTTTTTGGAAACATTGAAAATGCCATAAATATTGTTTTCATTATTTCCACAAATGTATCATCCCTAGCTACCATTTCACCATAATGATTACCTCAACAGTCTCAAATCTTATAAACAAATTAAAATGAAAATAGAAAATGTTTTCACTAACTAAGTAAACAAGGCCTAAATTTGCTGTTGGAAATCCATGTTAATCTATATTGGTTTCTATCCTAATTGTGTTGCCATTCTGCTTATAACATATTGATCCAATCAATACACTAGTTATTATCTTTTTACATATTCAGAAAGAAGTAACCATTATATTCCAATGATACTAACTGCAAACTCCTGGAAACCACAGTTTTTCATTACTGGTTGCACTGAGATTTCTACCTTGACAATCAACATTTATTTATATGTTGCGATGCAGTGCTCATAACAAGTAGCAGCAACTAGCATAGTGTTAGCTTCCTTAAGAATATCTTATTTAACAGATGCAATAAGTCAAATACAAGTTCCATTTGAAACACAATCGAAGAAGCTAGAGTCGTTATTTTATTTGGTATTTAACAACCTTCTATAAAGCAGAATATAATAGCAATCAATATTGGAACAAAACATACCAAATTATGAACTTGGTGATACCATCCGCTAGGAACAAATATGATTTCCCCTGCTTCTTGTGTGCATTCTAACCAGATAGCCTGCGTATGTTACAAGTTCACTGAAGGCTGAAGCAGAAAAATGATAATGGAATTAGAGTTTATCAAAAGAAGGAAACTATAGATTTACCTTTTTAAAACTAGGATACTTTGAGTCAGATACTTCATCAAAGATATTATATACACAGCTTTTCATGTTCCTGAATCAAAGCTTATAGATAATTAGCTCTGAAAAACAAACAAAAATACTATACATCAAAGAACCTCCATCCTCATCCTTTACTGCCTAAGAAGAACACATAAAAAGTTGTAGAGATAGAACCAAAACAAACAAAGAAAATGGGAAGTAAGAGGGAATATAATCCATACAAAATTTGGTCAAAGTGGACACCAATAGTAATGAGTTCATAAATAATTTGAATAAAGAATATGTCCTGATTGTTTTTGTACCACAATGCCCAACTTTTATTATAAAAACCATGAATTTCGATTAGGAAAATGTATTCATGCCTGTCAAACACAAGATGGCACTGGGAAGGATCTAGAAAAAACCATCTCTTCTTTCCACAGACATTTGCTGACCAGCTATACGACCTGAAAACATCAGCATGTAGAGGAGTCCAAGATCCTGCCAGAAGAAGTGAAAGTAAGAAGTTACTGTTGGATTGCTCATCTCTTCGCATAGAAAAGTGCAGAATCATCTGAGATTCATGGTCATTTCAAGATTTCTTCCCAACTAAAATCACACCTTTTACTCCCATGTAAACAAAACGATAGTCAGAGCAACATATTTCCTTATTTTGCTGGTCTCTGTCGGAATAAGTATTCATTCTAAAGTTATCGAGATACAAGTTGAGCCAATCATCACAAAAGAACATCGGAGTGATGTATGGTACGTAATCAGGATACTCCTGCAATAGTTAGAAAAAGAAATTACTTAGTAAATCATCATCTGTAGTATAACATAACATATGATAACTCTAATGCAACAAGAGGATTATCTAGGTTGACAGGGGCAGACTTCAAAGTAAATTATGAAAAGGCACTACAAATGTACAACAATGAATGATAAAGTGATGAAAAGCCAAAAATGATACCTTCACAAAATGCCAATCCTTCAAATACGGTACAGATGCAGAGTCACCATTACTTACACCAATTTGATTACTGCACTGAACTGCAGAACCTTCATATTTAAAGCAAAGTCGAACGAAATCGGAAACCAACATGTCCTCCCTTTTTTGATCAGTAAAATCTCTGGTATCACAGTCTGCAACCTTTCCATGACCAAAATTTCAATCAGCTGATAGCATCAACATTTCAAATTTTCAAACGAGTTAAAGGAATCTCAATCTTACAAAGTTTGAGTGTAACTACAAATTACAATCACCAATAATCACCAACAAATTATATCCAACAACCAATGTTAAATATTGATTTTAAGGAAATTAACTTAGAAGTAACAATTTATCAACCTGAACTTTGGAGGAACCAAAATGAGTGGAGAAAAATTGGAGATTAGGTTTTCCATTAGGGTTAACCCAATCAGTGCAAGCCTTCCAATGATTGTCCATTAATCCAGTTAGCATCACTGGTTTGTTCTTCTCCATATATCTTTCAACAAATTCATTGTAGCTTAATTCCTTTCCATTTACCTTCTCTATTTCTCCCTTTATTTTGATGTTACTATCCATTAATTCACCATTCACAACCTTGCTTGTTCTTTCTAACAAGCTATTCTGCTATCAAGATGAAAATAATGTCAGGAGTTTCTGAAACTATTGGGCCTCGTTTGTTACTGGGCTTAAATCAGAAGTAAGTTTACTAAATGGGTACTATTATTTGAACCCCCTTTTTTCTTACTAAACCGGGTTTAATTTTACGTCTTAAATGCATCTGTGGAAACGATTATATGTAGTTTACTATAGGGTTAGATATGGTTTTTTTTTTTTTTTTAAATATATTAACAGTTAGTCTTAGTTTTTTTTTAAAGAAAATTTCAAACTTCAATTCATTAAAATTTTCTATTACCAATTATAATATATGCTTTTTTTTACAAATTATGTCTTAGAAAAGCTGCTTATTTTTGACACTTTTTTTAATGGAATTTTGGACACTGATAATTAATTGATTGGGATATTTACTTGCTTCCTCTTGCTGATATTCATCGGATCATATTATTCAAGTAATATTTGGGGGACTTATTTTACTAGATGCTTACGGATCTTTTAAAATATCATTATATAACATTAATATAAATTTTTTTATATTGGTTGTGTTTTTCATATAAAAAATAAATAAAAAATTTAATGACATTCACTTTATGAAAAATAATAATATACATTTTAACACAATATAAAGTGTAAAAATTATTTAAATTTGTTGTGTATAAAAGAAGAAAATTTGTCTATTACAACTTAACAAATTTTACATATATTAAAAATACAATTATATATATATATATATATATATATATATATATATATATATATATATATATATATATATATATATATATATATATATATATATATATATATATATATATATATATATATATATATATATATATATATATATATATATATATATATATATATATATATATATATATATATATATATATATATATATATATATATGGATTAGATGAAATATTAAAGTGAATAATATAATATATTAATTTTAAAAAAATAAAGTAAATATACCTATGGAATAGTTAATTAGTATATTTGAATCTATCGAAGTTATATCTATATGTATGTTTTATGCAAAAAGTTGAAGCGACTTCAATTAGATTTGAGAAATTTTGGAAGGCCTTTCCAACATATGCAGTAAAATATCGATAAGGTCATATAAGACCTTTTAAATGCTCAAAAGGATCTTATGTGTGATAAAATGAATAGTAAGGTTGAAAGAGTCCAAAGATGCACATAGGAAGTTATCTATTGAAATAACCTAGAAGAGAAGATGCTTAGGTAGAAATCTAAAATTGACTGACTTCATTTGGGTGATGGAAACAATTTGTATTTCCATGCAACCATTAAAGCTAAAAAGAATGGCAGAAGCATTAATATGTTGTATAAAGAGGATGATACGATAGTTACTTCACAATGTGATATTAAGGTCGAAGTGCTAAAATTATATGAAGGTTTAATGGGGACCAAAGATAATAATGTGCGACATATAAATATTATGGCCATGAGGGGTGTACGACAGCTTAGTATGGAGCAGAGGGAAAGCCTTGTAGCCCTGTTAGTGAGCAAGAGATTGTAAAAGATTTGAATGGAATAAGTGATCTAAAGAGCCCGGGTATTGATGGATTTGGAGTCAGATTCTTCAAAACTAGCTGGAATGTTGTTAAAAAGAATGTGGTTGATGTTGTCAAAGATTTTTTTTAGAATGAGATTATGTACAAAGCGTTCAATTATACTTTGATGACTCAGATTCCTAAAGGCAATGAAGTTAAAACTATTAAACAGTACCGACCTATTGCGAGATGCACTATAGTGCAAAAAATTATCTCAAAAATCATTACTGTAAGAATGGGAAAGATTTTATATAGTATCATTAGTCAGAGTCAAGTTGCTTTTGTTCCTGGTCAACATATTCATAACCATATTCTTCTGGCTTATGAATTGATCATATGTTATTCTCGTAAAGGTGGTACTCCCTGATGCATGATGCAAATAGACCTCCAGAAGTCTTATGATATGGTAAATTGTGATGCCTTGGAATGTATTCTGAAAGTAGTTGGTATGCCTCACCGATTTATTAGATGGATCACGATAGTTGTGTCCATAATTTCTTACAGATTCAACGTCAATGGTTATTACTCTAATTTTTGCAGGCAATGCATGGACTCTGACAGGGAGACCCCATGTCCCCTCTTTTTCGTTATAGTAATGAAATATTTGAATAGAATCTTGTATAATATGCAGAAGATTCCTAATTTTAACCATCATACCAAGTGTGAGAAGCTTTGTATTACTAACCTGGCTTTTGCATATGATTTACTTCTTTTTTTCAAGAGGAGATCCTATGTATATAGAGCTTATGATGAATGCCTTTAAGAGTTTCTCCATGTCCACGAGACTTATTGCTAACCCCCGAAAATGAAAGATTTACTTTGATAGTGTTGATGTAGACTCAAAGAGAAAGATTCTTGATTTGACGCAGGTTAAAGAAGGACCCCTCCCATTCTGTTATTTAGGGGTGCCACTCACTTATAAAAAAACTCTTTATCCACTACTACATGCCATTAGTGGATAAGATTGTTGAAAGAATCAAACATTAGAATACTAACTTTTTATGTTATGTAGGGCAGTTTCAGCTTATCAGGAGTGTGACTTTTGCTATTGCGAATTACTTGATGCAATGCTTCTCAATCCCAAAATATGTTATTCAAAAAATTGAGGTTGTTTGTAGATCTTTTATTTGAACAGGGGATCAGACATTAGTAGAAAGAGTCTAGTAGCTTAGGATGTGGTGTGCAAGCCTTAAAACTATGGAGAATTCAATATTATTGACCTTAAGGTTTGGAACAAAGTAACAATGTTGAAACTTCTCTGGAACCTTAGTAGTAAGGCTGATAGTCTTTGGGATAAATGGCTTAACACCTACTATTTGAGGAAAGATAATCTGATTAATGTGTGTGTTAAGAGTCACAACTCATGGATTATGAAAAATATTTTAAAGCAACGGAGTAGCATTGAGGAAATCAAACCCATATGAGTTAGTATGCAATGTAATGGTCGGTTTTGTACGAAGGAGGTTTATAAAAGTATATGCACTCTCACTACAAAAGTTTGATGGCGTAATATTTTCTGGGGAAATACATCCAAACCTAGAGCTTTGTGTTGGATTAATTATTTAATTAATCAATTATGAATTAACAATAATCAATTATTAGAAATTATTATTAATATTAATTATGATTTATTATTATTAAATATTTATTGATGAATTATCTAATTGTGCTATTGTCTTTGAGTGGATCGTGATGGATTGAACTATTTAGTTAGCCCTCAACCGTTTAGCTATTTAAGTGTTGTCCCATTAAACAATTAACATACTCTAAAAACCTAAACAATAATGAGGATAATAATTCTCTCATACTCACCCGTCTCAACCGATAGTTTTTTCAATTCTATGAAGTACAACGTTCTTATTATATTGATTATTCTTTGATATATGATATATTATAATTTATATCTATTCGGTTCAGTTAAATCTATCAATTGATATAAGAGTCGGGTTGATAGGTTTATAACTATTGTTTGAATTATAAGAATCATGAATTGGTGTATCGCTTGGGTATGTTTTGAGTCCGGCAAATTAAATGATTAAACCTGATACATTAATTTTATATAATTCTGGTTTTCTAATGTATAAATTTTATTTTGATACATATTAAGAATTGAACTGGGGTTTATTCTATATATATACTGATCATATGGTTTTACTGGGGTTTATTCTATATATATACTGATCATATGGTTTTACATCATTATTATTGAATTCAGATGTATTTTATGACTATTGTTTGAATCAAACCCTTCTTGTTGTATAATGCCATAACGAAATTTCATCGTAAATTTGACTTCCGTATGTAAATATGCAGCAATTTAATTTTATTGCAATTACTCTAACTCTATGTACCAATTCTCTGATTTTGCCTATATAAAAAATATAAAAAAATAAAAGAGGAATTTATCTACTTATTCTTGATAACAGTTGCACATACTGTATAACTTATTGACTTAGAAAAATTGTCCTATTTTATAGAAAAAATTTTAGGAAATCTTAAAAGGTTATATTTTTGTAATCCACTTATTATACTGTGGAGTGAAGAATATTCTTCTTTCTTTATTTATTAATTATATATTTGAGATCAAATGATTATTATTTTGAATCAATAATGAATCGGTTTATAGTAGTAACCCGACATTAATATCACATTGATCATATTAATTTTAATAATTAATTATAATGATAGTAATGGTTAGTGTATATTTTCTTATTTATTGCACACATAATTTGTTTCTCCCATTTGTGTCAATGAAATTGATTTCATAAATTTATTTATGAAATAAAATTATGATTTATTATTAATTTATAAATCATTTGAGATGACACTCTTGTATTTTATAAGTCATTAAAATTTATTGATTTTTTAAATAAAGACTACATTCTCTTTTAAGTTGGTCGTAATTTAATTATTATTTTAAATATTTTATAAAATATTTAAGAAAAAATTTATTTTTAATAAGTCACTACAAAAAATACTCTCATTTGCGATTTAAAATTCACGTCACAACATGAAAAATCACGTCACAACTCCTAATTTGCGACGTGAGTGATCACGTGACTGAGATATGGATGACAATTTATTTGCGACGTGATTTTCATGTCACAAAATTGTGACGTGAAAATCACGTCGCAACATATTTTTATAGACATTTTGACTTTGCAGTGACATCAGGCGCAACGCAGAAAAAGAAATTTATTTGTCACGTGATTTTCACGTCACAAATTAGTGACGTGAAAATCACACCGCAAATTAGTAACCATTCACACTTTCTCTTTGTCCAACTTTTGTTTTTTTATTAAAAAAATAAGTTGCGATGCGATTTTCAGTTCACTAATTTGTGACGTGAAAATCACGTCACTAATCTTTTTATTTTTTAAAATT